CTTTATATAAGCTTCAAAGAGAAATATGAATGTTTCTTTGCCTTGTGTAATTTGAATCCTCGAGTGGATTGGCTCGACTTAGTTCGATCATAACGTGCAGGGGAAAAGTTCTTGATGTTTTGAAGAACTGGCCGGAAAGGAGTATTCAAGTTATCGTTGTAACCGATGGTGAGCGTATTTTGGGGCTTGGGGGTGAAATTGTTTGAAGTCCATTTATTTCAGTTAGAAACATTTTTGTTGGTGCTTAGTTTAAATTGCAGTTTTCGGATTCTGTGAAACAAATGAACTAGTTTTTGCCATTATTCGGTTGGAAATTCAGGGGATGGGAATTCCTGTTGGGAAATTGGCTTTGTATACAGCACTCGGAGGGGTTCGTCCTTCATTTGATGTTTTTGAGATCTACATTTATGGTTCTTAAGCTGAAATTTTACATAATTGGAGGACTAGAAGTGAAATTTGGTATAAGCATCAATTGTGATGATACCGATGCAGCTCTCGTATTGATTGATTCTGCTTTATAGTGTTTACCGGTGACCATCGATGTGGGAACAAATAACGAGGACTTGTTGAAGGATGAGTTCTACACTGGACTTAGACAAAGGAGGGCAACTGGGCAGGTTGGTTGATTTTAATAGCATAATCATTACGAACATAAGGTGCATATACTGACATTATTTCAAATACGATTCAGGAATATGCTGACCTGCTACATGAATTCATGTGTGCTGTCAAGCAAAACTATGGGGTAAAAGTTCTTATACAGGTATTCATTCCTAGGACACTTTCCTTTTTCTGTGTGCAATCTTCTTCTTGCATTCCCTAATCATGTACATTTCTTTAAATATTATGCAGTTTGAAGACTTTGCAAACCATAATGCTTTCACATTGCTTACGAAATATGGCACAAGTCACCTTGTCTTCAACGACGATATACAGGTAAGCATTGTAGCAGAGCAGTATTAGGAGCTCCCTCCTTACGGGTATTTAGTTTTTTGGGGTGTTAATTTATTAATCACTTTTGGTGCAGGGGACAGCATCCGTTGTTCTTGCCGGGGTTGTCGCTGCATTTAAGTTGATTGTTGGCACTCTAGCTGATCACAGATTCCTGTTTCTTGGTGCCGGAGAAGTAAGACACTAATCTCTGCTTCATCAATGTTTCTATCTTTACCCGAAAAGGGAAGGGAATAATATGCTGAAATAATTGATAACTTATAATAAAGGAAATAGCAATCTTGTGCAACATGATTTAACCCTTAATGGATCTGTTCAAAATACCTCTCATCGTTGGTCGTATTTGCAGGCTGGGACTGGTGTAGCAGAGCTTATAGCCCTTGAGATGTCGAAGCAGGTAAAAATAAAATCATACTAATAAAATTTGACAAGTCACTTTAGTTTATCCTAAATTCCATTTGGAGTGATTATATTTTTGCTCACTTTCAGACAAAAATTCCCTTGGAAGAGACTCGTAAGAAGATCTGGCTTGTCGACTCGAAGGTATAGTTAAGCTTTGCCTTGATTGGTGCCGAAAGAAATATACCAAAATATACCATATATACATCCGTTTTCACCTAAGCAGCATGAGAATTATATTTCAGGGACTGATTGTTAGCTCTCGTAAAGATTCACTTCAACATTTCAAGAAACCATGGGCTCATGCCATGAACCTGTTGAGGATCTATTAGGTTCTGTCAAGGTAAGAAAAATTTTGCTTACTTCCACACCCTTTAAACTAATATTCAGTGCTTATGTTGCTTATACTTCTTCAGGCAATCAAGCCAACAGTTTTGATCGGGTCTTCTGGAGTCGGAAGAACTTTTACGAAGGAAATTATCGAGACTGTAACCTCCTTGAATGAGGTACTTTATGCAGTACCCTTATCTGTATGCTTTCTGGTATAATTTTCTGCCATCCAGAACCGGAAAATATTTACGTTGTTGATGCAGAAACCTCTTATTATGGCTCTCTCCAACCTGACCTCACAATCCGAGTGCACAGCAGAAGAAGCTTTTATACTTGGAGTCAGGTAACATCATTTCTTGTTGGTTGGTAGACCGCATAACTAAAGTGAAAAAGCTACTGGAAAGGCTGCTTCAAAATCTCATTCTTATTATGTTGTCCGGATCGTGCAGGGCCGTGCCATTTTTGCTAGCGGAAGTCCGTTTGATCCTTTCGAATACAATGGCAAAGTTTTCGTTCCCGGCCAGGTTCAACCATTATTTGATTGTTGAGAATATTTTAACAAAACCTCCATGTATGCAATATCACCAGTTTCCACGTTTTCTTTTGTCGATTCAGGACAACAATGCTTACATATTCCCAGGTTTTGGTTTGGGTTTGGTCATCTCCGGGGCAATTCGCGTGCATGACGACATGCTTTTAGCAGCCTGTAAGTAGACAGTAATTAACTCACGAACAACGCAACAAAACATATCCATATCGAAGTTTGCTGGGATTTACAGGGGATTAACTGTATACCGTTCTTGCATCTCTTGTATTTAACAGCGGAAGCCTTGGCTAAGCAACTGTCCGATGAAAACTATGACAAGGGCCTTATTTACCCACCATTCTCCAACATAAGGAAAATTTCAGCTAATATAGATGCAAACGTTGCCGCTAAAGCATACGAGCTCGGTGAGTGACATCTTTAATCAAGTTAACGGCATTTATATTGGTGTCTTGATTTGTTTAAGCCCCCATATTGTCTATAATTTCCTCTCCAGGTGTGGCAACTCGTCTCCCTCGTCCTGCCGATCTCGTGAAGTACGCTGAGAGTTGCATGTATTCGCCCATCTACCGAAGTTACCGGTAAATGCTCGGAGTTTTGCCTCCCTCCCTCACCCGTTCTAGTTTATAATTAGCTTCATCTTGAAGTTCATATATGTTAAGTTGGTTGGGAGCTCTCAACTTTATGACAAGTACAAGAAGGTGAGTATCAGCTAAATGCTTGGACACACGTAGTATCGTGGTTAAATCGATTTGCCTCCCTCCCTCACCCGTTCTAGTTTATAACTAGCTTCATCTTGAAGTTCATCTATGTTAAGTTGGTTGGCAGCTCTCAACTTTCATGTTTTGTAAACTTCCAATAACATACGACTGCATAATGCAGTAACATCATGTAAAGGATAATATCGTCTGGTTTGACCGAAAATTCATAATCGAATATGAGAATATAATTGTGAAAAATATGATCATCTGGCTAAAATCCAATGGCAGCGTTGGATCTGGAAAGAAACCAACGGTGGAGATTTAAGTATTAGTTGATCGCTCGTTCCACTGAGACATTCTCCTTGGCAGAATCTTGAAGTCCATTAGGGATTGTCCCACAGCAGTAATTGGTTTTCCCAACTCTTATCCCGTAGTGTAAACATCAAACACATAAACATATACTATTTAAAAGTCGGTGAAATTTTATTTTATTTAAAATTAACATTTAAAATAAATAATTTCATTTAAAAATTATAATATAAAATATTTAAAATATTATTAATTCACTATATGATCAAAAGAGTTCAGACATTTAAATCACAGCATTAAAATAAAAATATATACATGCTAGCTATAAATATAAAAAACATCATAAAGATGTCATGTAGATTCTGAGTATCTTGTCTGTTATCTTACTCTATTGACGTCGATTTTCCTACGTGTGAATCAATAACTTATTGAGGTAACATATGACATAAATAACATATAAAATAAACATTTATACATAAAAATATTATTTAAATAAATCATGTACAAAATATAATAAAAATAATTATTAAAATCTTTTACTTTAAACTACGTATTAAATTTGTTCTTTTTTATTTTTAATTTGTATCGTTGTCCACTGTACTATTATGAGAAATCTATGATACATGTCATATGAGTGAGAACTCATTATAAACTGTATCAGGTTACTCCATTTCGTGTATCATTAAGATACATGAGTCCTATGAGTAACAACATTGTATCATATAACACAAAATATTCTGTAGATTGCACCAAATTACTCTACCTTGGTACCACTAAGACACACGAGTTATATGAGCAATTTATACTGGTGCAGCTTGTAAGTTTGTAACTGTTCACTCCACCTCTTGACATGTCAATTGTACCATTAACTCTCACTTACATACCAAACACAAATTAATAATTTAATTCACATAATACACTCAACTTCATATAAAATTTCTAAAATAATTGTTATCGATCTATGTTCAATAAAAATTTCATTATCCAATCAAGAATCAACTTTAATATCACCAAATTAACTTATCACTTCAACTGCCTAGAATCATTTTTACATTCATTCTAACCATTAGAAATTTAAAAAAAAAATTAAATTTTTTTCTTAATTTTCTCTCTTAAACCGAAACTTTGGAGTATTTCTCTTAATGATCTTCAATTTGATTCAATCACAATTTAATCACCAACACCTCATTTTCAATCAGTTTCAATCATTCACATAACAAAAACAAATCAAAATCAACTAATATCCATAGGATATACATCGGTTGCCATTAAATAACAAATGAATTCAATTAAAATACTTGAGCTTGATGGGAACGTGGTCCCATCATGGTGTACAAGTCAACAACCAACGAAAGCCTTGTAATGAATCAAAGGCGACACATATATAGAAGGTGTCGGTGATATAAATAATAAACCAGTACACGTGGGAATTAAAGTAGTATTGTATTGCTGCGTGAACCATAGTGTTCCATTGCTCCATATAAACATACACATGTGCATGACCATAAGAATATAAGCACATAAAATTATCAAACCAAACTTCACCGGACAAGAGGTAAGTCTGACAAATTTATAACTTTTACACTCATGACTCAACGCTTATATGCTTATATTCGGCCAAATATGTGAAGTTGAGACATTAGCCTTGTAATTAATCAAACCATTGCTTATATACTTTAGTCCCTAAACTTTTATAACTGTATACTTTAATCCCCAAGCTTTCCAATTTTTACATCCCAGTCACTAGTCCAAAATTTGGGATACACTCAACGCTGCAAAATTCATATAAGAAGAAAGAAAATGGAATTTAGCATACAGTTTTCCTCTTTTTCTTTGCAGAATTTGCCAAATTTATATCCAAAATCTCCCACCTTTCGTTAAAGACGATCACGGAGCGGATTTCGCAATTTCCGAACCTGCATTGTATTTAAATCTCTCTTGATTTTGAGGTCAGAAAAAGTAAACTCCAGCCTCCATTTTTTAAGTGCAATAAAGAATTAGACACTCACCGAGTGAAAGGATCAGTATCCATCAAGTGCAGACACTTGTTTTTAAGTGCAATCAGTGTTTCCTGCAAGAATACCCCATGGCTCACCACTGCTATCTCCCTTTCCTTTCTTCCCAACAACCTGAAACGATTCGGTTTGGATTTTAATATATATATATATATATACACACACATTCGTATTCGATACATATTCGAATATACGACCTTTGAATATTTTAAATATATATATATAATGTTTGGTACACACCAATTAACGAACTTGATTCCCCTAGCAGCAACAGCTTCGTTGGTTTCACGTTCGTCAGCCTCCCACAAAATGTCTTCTTCACTCTCAATCTGAGATCAATTATTTGTTAAAAAGGATTAAGCTTTTATGTTTAGGGTTAATTGTTGAGGGATCTCTCGATTGTGTAGTCGGTAGGAGACTCGAACTATTCAGGTTATTGTAAGGCATCGTGACGCTAGGAGGTCACGATAAGTAGTGCCCTAGTTCTTCTATGATCTCGAAAATACTCTCCGAGACTCATTGAGGATAGACAGATAAAATCTCGAACATTTTAAAAGATATAATATATGGTTGATAGAGATTCAACCAACCGTGCAATCAAAAAAATCCTTAACATTAATGAAAATAAGAGTTGGGGACAAGGGATTCTTGCCAATGAAAAATCAACTTGGGGGAAACGAGACCGGCACTGCCCGATTGTCGCTCTGCTCCGACCTTTTCTCTACGTTGAATTGAACCCATGGATTAAAAACAAAACCACATAAGCTTTAATGCATGCATGCGTGCATAGATACATACCATTCGTTCACGACATAATTCGGTTGCTATGATTGGTGGGTGATTCAAAGTTGATGTCTTGTTCCCACAATGATCTTGTTCCTCTTCACTACCAAAAACTCCAACTGATGTCTGCAATGTCCTGTAATTCCAACCATTCCAATCAACAAGCTAAACATGAAACTTTTTAATCAAATTCTTTTATTGCTGCATTTAGTACGCAAAAAATGTGAATTTAATCCGTGTATTACAGTTTAGTCATTTTTAATCTATTTATTTTTCAAATTTTAAAATTCCAATCTTGACTCAAACAATAGTCTTCCAAATTCGTTACGTCAAATCCACCTATTAGTTTCTATATATGCATAGTTTGTACGTTTAATTCAGGTTCTCCAATTTAATCACTAACTCATATAATTCAAAGTGATTGGACTCTGAGAAATCCAAATCCGAATTGATTTGAACCTGAAATGACATTAATTAACCCGGACTAGAGTAACGTGACCTGCCCCATAAGTGTGTGTTTTTGACTATTATTGCTTGGATAGATTGATACCTCAACAAAGGTGAAGTGATGACTACTTCAATTCCTTCAAGCATTCCACTTGCAGAAACATTCTCCCTTTGCTCACGAACCTGTTAGAAATCGGCTAAAATGTCAAATATTTAATATAAAAATGATAATTCAGTTGTTACAGTTATTATGAAGTTAGAAGATCATAAGGTGCGACTCTCTGTTTAAATCAGAAGAATCGTTTTCCGACATTATACGTCAATAATTTTTAATGGCAAAGCCTTTGTATCACCTGTTGCCAACCCAGAGGCGAGAGTGCAGCATCAGTGAATTGAGTTAACGAGCCACGGTTCATCTCGGCCTCTAAATTGTGAAGTCCTTGTGCATGCCTTACCTGTTACTAACGTCGTTAAATAATAATGATAACGAAGATTCGAATGACATAAAAACCGCGACGACATATGATTCGGTATAATATAAAGAAGTGAGATTGGTACAAAACCAGATGAAGAAGCTTTTGATTGCTGAGAAGGTATGGACACGAAGTTGGTGCAGGTGTTTCCATTTCTTTCAATGTGAACAACAAAAGCAGATATCTATGATGAAATAACTTTGAATGGCAAAAAGGAAGAGTTGGCCATATTTATTTATACTTCCATCAATTTTGGACGTTTCTATTTTATTACAACATTCCCCATACTACACTCTACACGTAAATATTATGAAGGTACGTTTGAATGTCTATAACTTTGACTAGAGTTTTTTTTTATTAAACTAAGGTGATTATAAAGTAATATTTGTTTTAAATACTCTCAATCCCACTGCTGCAGTCATCGGTGCTCGAATCTAATACCTCTAGGAACAACAACGATTCCTTTAACCACATAGGTAAATTGGTTTGTATATCTTGACTCATGTTTAGTGTGTTCAATATTAAACATAAACTATTATTTTCAAATCAATAATGAACAGATAAAATATTTTTTTTGAGTATAATCATTAGTATCCAATCTATTGATCAATTAATTTAAATTGGGTATTGTAGAGGCGAAGCAACCCTTCTTACTCGATTTACTTCATTTGTAATCGTCAGGATTCGAACTTTGACCTATAAAGTAGCTTTTTTTTAATAAAACGAATAATATAACTTGAATGATATAATACTATATTTCGAGAATTCAATAAAATATTTTTAAAGTTTGTGATGGATTTAAAAAATTAGTTAACCCTATTCCCATATGTAATGAGGTAAGGGGGAGGTAGGATAATAGGCTGCCCCCAACGCCAAGTTGAGAGCAACTTCTGTGGGAGACCTCCGACAATCAGAATTATGAATTGCTTACCGTGAGACTCGATCCCACAATCACAAAGTTAAGAGCCTTGCGCTCTACCAACTGAACTGGACGAGCAATTCTTTGTGATGGATTTAAAATCATATAATAAACTGAAAATATTATGTTGTGATATTATAATTTAAGAAATCGCCTTTCTTTTCAAGTCCTCTCTTCAAGAAAGAAACAAAATTCTTAGATGAACCCGAGTTTGAAAAGGACAACAACGCGTAATCTGTAGATGTTGAATTAAAGACATGCAACATTCAATAGGGTAAATTACGTAAATGGTCATCTGATTGTAGGATGATATTTTATTAAGTCATCTGATTATTAAAAATTTGAGTATATTAATTATTAAAAGTTATAAAATGATCACATGATTATTCATTATTTTCTAAACTCTTCCTTTTCCATTAAAAATTTGATGATGTTCTAAGTTGTACATTAACCTGTTAATTGAGATATAATAAAATCTGATCCCATAATATGAAATGACTATTATATCCCAGTTAGCATGTTAACGTCCAACTTAAACGACCGTTAATTTTTACGAAAAAAGACGAGTTTGGAACATAATAAATAGTCAAGTGACTATTTTATAATTTTTAATAGTCGATGAATTCAACAAAGCAACTCCTTTTAGTCAAGGCATCATTTTATAACTGTCAATAATTAAGGGGATTAAATAAAACCCTATCCTATAATCGGGGACCATTTATGTACTTTACCCTAATCAATAATGTGTCTGATATTAAAGACAAGTTCTAGGTTGTACTAAAAAGTGAGTCAATGGTCCACAGTCCACATGTTTGAAATCAAACAATTCACTACGAGTCGGTTTTTCAAATATTTCGAACCACTTTAGGGGTCAAGTCCTCCCATAGTTCACCATTCGTAGTTCTTGTCAAAGGGTTTATCTTTCACCATTTGTGGTCCCATTGGACACACCCTCGGGATAAATCGAGAAATTTGAAACCGTTAAGGAATTACTTTTTTTTTTAATAAAACAGTCCAGTATAGAGAATATTGGTACTATCTATCGATATTTCCTTCGTTATATTTAAAAATTTAACCATTATTCGACCGTTGTGTTTGATCAATATCGATACTAGGATTTGTGGTATCGTTATTATTATATAAAGTAGTATCGATACTTCATAAAATATCGATACATATTTTATATACTGAAATTTAAACAACTCTAAAAATAATAATTAGTATCGATACTTCTCTTACTCTTGGAATCGGTACCACATGAACGGTTTTTATCTTCTTCCATAAGTCGAACCTATTTGAGTAATTGACACTCCAACATTCATGTGACATTAATCTTCCCAAACCAATGAATACGTACACATCAATATCTCTATTTTGCAAACGTCATATCAGTATCATCATGAAATCGTAATTGTTAGTATCATAATAGTATCGGTTATCGATATTATCATTTCAGTCTTAAATCGATATTAAATAATTTAAGTCATATGATGATTAAAATTTTTATGTGTTTTGATTTATCATCTTCATATCGATCTATATTGGTAAGTATCGACATGTATGGTACGTTACTCCAAATTCAATTGCAAGCAGACGACCAAAAAAAAACACCATAGAAGCCCAAAGTTTTCATGGTTAGGCTTTGTTTGGTGTATTAAGATAAAAGCCCATTTGTGTGTTCTTATATTCTCGTACAGGGTCCCTAGATAAAATAATTTAATAGATGAAATTATTTATAACGTTCTTATGGTGGATAAAATAATTTATAAATGAAAGGCTTAATTATAAGATAAGTGCCCAAACTATACCCTTTTTCACAAGTAGGTGCCCAATTTTTTTTTAAATCATTCAAATGCCTAACGTTACAAACATTACCACTTTAGGTGCCCGAGTCTTAACAACTGTTAAAAAATTTCATTAAGTTACATGTGTCACACGATAATTTAAATTTTTTTATTTAAAATAAAAGCTTAAAGTTATAATTTTTTTAAAAAAAAACCCAAAATTTTCAAAAATTTTCAAAAATTTTAAAAACCTCCCCCTAAACTTTGAAAAACCTAAATCTAATCCCTATACCCACACCAACCACCACCATTGTCGTCGATCAAACCTTCACTCGATCGTGCCTCCACCAGCGACCAGTTACACGACAGTAAGGATGACCATCTTGACTAAATTGTGAGTCCACGGGGCCTAAATCATGACTAAATCTCGAACATCCATTGCCCTAAATCGCGGCTCAACGGCACCTCAACGACTATCTCAACAACAAGGACAACGCCATCTGACTAGGGAGATGAAAAAGATGGCATCGAAAATGGTGGTTGTGGCTAACGAGGGAGTTAGGGTTAGGGATTTAGGATTTTTAGGGATTTAATTTTTTTTGTAATTTTAGATAAATTAGGGTTTTTTAAAATATAAACATTATTTTTAAGTTTTTTTAAATAAAATTTTCAAATTATCAAAATGTAACATATGTTACGTAACAGTGAAATTTAACGACGGTTACAACCCGAACACCTAAAGTGGTAACGTTTGTAACATTAGGCACTTGGATGATTCAAAAAAAAAGTTTAGGCACCTATTTGGGAAAAAGAGTATAGTTTGGACACTTATTTTATAATTAAGCCTAAATGAAATTATGTATAACCTTCAAAAGTTTGAGTTTAATTGTTATTTAGGTCCCTCTTAGTTTTGAAACTAATTAAGCCTTGACCTATTATATTTTCAGTTTAAATTTGAAGTCCCTTTGGATTTCAAAATTAAAAAAAAAAAAGATCATAACCCCTCATTTTTTTTTATTTGATGATTTAACTAATAGGTTTTGACCGTCATTTTATTCCTACTTATATTTGTTCATAAGAAGTTTCATCATGACTACATCCTTGTAAGAGGTCTTTATAAGGATTCTTTTTTAGCATATTGACAAACAATAAGGATTCATTTTTAATATACTAATAATTAAATTATTTTGAAAATAAAGATTACGTGTTATTTTTTTAGAAACCGATAATTTTATTAAAAATAGAAAGTATTCAAATTATAATAAAAGTTTACAACCACAATCGTAAATTAAACACATAACAAAAATATTTTTCTAAACACTAGAAAACTAGTCACTTAAGATTATAAGGACCATACAGTTAAAAAAAAACTAACCATATAAACTCGAATAAATGGTAGATACGAACTGTAATACCCTAAATGTTGTCTAGTGACTAAAATGTAAGTTTTGAAAGTTTAGTGGCTAAAGTATAAACTTTGTAAAAGTTTAGGAACCAAAAATGTAATTTTAAAAAGTTATATATTTTGGCCTAAACCAAGAATTTTCGTGGTAATTAGATTTTCGGTACGAGATTTGTGTTAAAATCTATAAAGCGATAAAATTCGGTATAGAAATCGGATAATCGGATCGAACCATAATTTTACGAAAATTTTATGGACGTTAGATAATGGTTGGAAATATTATTTTCATATTTTAGATCAAATAAATTTAGCACATATTCGGGTAATTTTTCAGTTTGGGTCGAACAATGGAATTTTAGTGACTAAAATGCAATTTTTGAAAGTTACATGGCCAAAGTGAAAAGTCAAAGCTAAGTTGATTCATCTTTGACCAAGGAATATTTTAATGTAGAATACGGTAATGACAATTTGTAATTTTTAAGAATTATTAAGGGTATTTTGAGATTACTCATTAATTGAATTTTAAATTAAATTATATTAGTTAAATGCCGAGTGTATTGGTCATTAAATGCTAGAATAATCAAGACAATCAACATATTTTCAGCTATTCTTCTTCATTTGGCCGAAACTATCAAGCTTACAAAGGTAAGAATTTTATTTTGATTTTTGAAGCCATACACTTGATTTTTTGATTAAGCTATTAGATAGAGAATTAACCTATATGAAATTCTCTATCAAAATATTTCATGATGAAGAATTGAAGAAAGATATTCTTTCTGACGCTCATTATAGTCCTGTCAGGATTTGAAATATTTTGTATAAATATTTCATGGTGAAT